TGCAGTCCGCGATGTTCCGATTAGTAGACTCGTGTCCCTCTAATTGTGGTAATAACTAGTATTTCTATTCTAGGAACTCTCGGTGAGAATATTTCTCATTTCAATCCGTATGAGGTACCAATCGATCTATCTTTTCAATATCGTTCTAGCAAACAAACTTAGCGTTAAAATGCCTGAAGACAGTCTATCAACGATTTCAGATCTTAATTGTTTGTATATAAGCACTGATATATCATTCACACAATAGTTTGACGCTGGCGGTAAATCGCAATCGACAAATCGGAATCCGTGGATCAAAGTTAAAGGAAATAGCAAACGAGCGTTCTAGCGTTAAATCAGATCAAGCAATCGCGTTGTAAAACGATTGTTTTTTTTTTTTTGCGCAAACTCTGTATAATACACAGACGCAGAACAGGGTGTTCTTTCGTGCACTTACTCGTAATTACATGAAATGCACGAATGGTCAACGCAACTTCTTTGCGCATGCTTAACGTTGTATATACAGACGTCGCGATTGCCGCCGGTTAATCAGCGGCTTTAACATTAATAATACTAAATTATCATTAAATTATTATCGATTTATCCATTTTTATCTCGCTACAATGATCAGTTCTCTCGCGAGCTCGACGTGCGACCGGATTCGTCGAACCTTCTTCTTCCTTCTCGAAGGAGAAGGTAACAACAGTAACATATTCCGATGTTATCGTTGTTATCATCGCGATATACGTTCGATCGCGCAAGAAATACACGATTAAACATTAATCATGGCTTGTAGAAGACCATAAAAGAGTCGGCCGACAAATTTCTTTGTATCTCTCGTCAATCTTGCCGCACATCGAGGAGAAATCGTGAAATCTCTACGTAGCATCTATTTGTCGTGAAACCGTGTTCAATCGCGGCGATTTCATATGTTAGAGCAATCCTCCGGCGTCTCTGCAGGACACTTCCGCTATTTATTCGTGAGCATTTGCGCATACGAAGGAAACTCGACGACTGCAATCGCCGGATTGCAGTTCACTTACGCGGATTCTACTCGACTGAATTCTCTATTACGTATTGCTAGAAATTTGTTTCGAACATACCGGAATTTTTGGGTATCCCATGAATATAGAACAATTTCGAGCTCTTCGTAAACGCATGTTACCATCGTGGTGCGCTTGAGAATCTATCAACACCGTTAACTCACGCATTGTACAATTCAATCGATTTGATAGATCGGAGATCGACTTTGATAAAATATGTGATTTGAATCGTTTCTTTGGAGGATACGCAACGGTCTCAAAGGCGTAAGTCTGCGTGACTGTCGCTGTTTTTTCATTATTCTTTGTGGCATCGAGAAAGAGCTTTTTGATGTTTTTCGATGAATGCAACTGTCCCGGAAATACCCGATTTGAAAATCATTTCGTTTAAACTTGATTTCGTTCTCTCTCGCAAGAACCTTTGAATATATTCATACTGTTACAAATGTCGTCAAATCGGATAGTTCGTATGGAACGAGCGATGAAAAATTAGGCTGACTTACAGCTTGTGATCTCGAGTGGTGACAGAATGTACGTCTTTGCCACAAAGTACGTCCCTGACCGCCCTGCTGCCGCCCCCAGGTCACCCCCGATAGACCTCCTGCCCCACGAGTGTCTTTTCTATTTCTACGGAAGCTCGATTAATTGTAGATGTCGTTATTCTTTCATATAGATACCGCAATTGCGGGAAAGTGATCCATTTTGTTTAAAGCGATTTTTAATTGCAAGGTCAGTGCTTAAAAACTGTATACGTGAATTTGGATACGTGAATTTGCTATGAGGAATCTGAAGAATGGCAGATAAAATTGTTAGCGATGTAAAAAAAGAGTATTTCTTATACTCGTATAAAGACTTTAAGAAAGACCGCCACTGCTCAAATTTCTCTAATTATAGCCAGTGAATCGAGTGCAACGCAACAGAAGGGAAAGCCGTTCGTTGGCGCGTGGTTTTTCAGAATATTTTTCATACGCTGCTTAGTTTTTTCGTCGACTTGTTTCTGAATGTGGAGAGAGCTTTTAAGCTCTTCACGGATACAGTACGCCTTGACGATCACGCGCTAAAGTCATGCAGATGTATGTATGAGCGAGCTATTTTCTTGCAAGAATAATGCGAGACACTCTCTGCATAATCTGTTTACCGAAGTTGGCGTAACACTTCGGGAGCTGAGGTTGAACCTCGGCAAAGTTTCGACAAAGTTTTCACACCTAAAAGGCACTGCGATCGACATTTGTTAATTATTGTCGTTGCACCAACTTCTCGATATGGAAGAATGATTTGTTTGTGCGCAGCCGTGTGTTCGGCGGAAAAGTTTCGTCACGTTCCCCCGCGAGGGTAGTGAAATGAGATCCAAGTATTTGCGAGATATGTCTTTACACGTCGAAAATCTATTGAGCGACTTTAGCTTAGCGTCGTAACAAAACGTACTGTGTGTTAAATCAATTCAGTTATTGACTTGGAATTCGTAATCGTAATCGTAATTGAAAGACTGAAGTTTAATTTTGTTATTCACAAAGCTGATGCATGTTGCAAAATGCTCTTAAACACGGCGTTTGAATGCAGAAAATAACAGGAAAGTGAAGCTGTTATTAATACAACAGCAGTGAAATGTAACGCCGTAATGTGTTTAGTGTAACCTCATTCTTAGAAATTGTATTGTTGAAAACGTGAAAACGTAATTTAATTACACACTAATTGTAAGATGTAAAAATGAATCTCATTGCTTGCGAGCAGCTTTTGCCGATTCAATTTTTAACGACATTTTCATCAGTATTGCCAACGATCAAAGCGTGGATCACGCTTCGAATCGAATTAAAGAACAATTTCGCAAACTACATAGACGCGCACATTTCATCGGTCACTTTCGCACTCAACTCCACATGATACCAGCTCGGCTCGATTTTCCGCTTTCCCACGCCTTGATCGCCACGCGCGACGGAACTCGACCGTGTAAATAAGTGCTCTCAAACTCATTTGTTTCGAGTAAAAATGCGTACGTCTGATTGTGAGATTTGCTCACTACACAGCAGAAGCGTGTAAATCTGTTTCTCATTATTACAAGTTTAAGTACATAACTAAACGACTTAGCGAAACGTACACGTCGACCAAGCATCTTCGTTACACTTTAAACGATTGTCCAAGCACATCGAACCGTTGCAATATTTTAAGTACATGTTCTCTCTTTTCATATCGTAAGTCATTTATCAATACCGACTACTGAGACTAACTGGTCGCTTCTCTGATCGAAATGTAAGAGTATTCCCCGGACTGGGGGTCAATTCTAACGTTTCAACCAGGGTTCCTTTATACACAATCAACACTTTCGCGATCGTCTCATTTTATATCGCGAAGGCGTTAAATTGTATCCGTCCTCCTTTCAAATACCAAATCAACGGGGCGTCCAGAAGAACGCTCTCCTCACGCACTGCAGGTTCCGAATAGCGTTACTACGCGCAATACGTCGCCTCCGCGACAGCGACGGCGAACGTATCCCGGCCAGGCGAGGCACCTCCGAATACTGTATTCCGACGCACGGTCGTCGCGGTAATTGCCAACAATTCTTGATGGCAAGATTTCGCGACATCCGGTCGACGTGTACGTCGCTTTGATGGTCGGTGGGGCAGACGAGGTTCTCCCTAGAAAAGCAGAAAGGAAACCCGGGTGCGGCGAGCGTCCCCCTTGGCCCGTCGGGCCATCCCAAACTGTCAGACGGACGGGTCGCTGCCGGGGGCGGAGCCCGTCTTGCTGCCGTCGACGCCAACTCCGCCACCGTCGCCGTCAGCTCCCCCGCCCTCTCCGCCCCTGTACGGCGAGCCGCCGGCCCCGCGCGCCGACAGACCTCGGAAATCCAGGTTGTACTGAAAAGATGTAGGAGGACGAAAGATTATTACATGCCGTATATCACGCGAACCCCCCCGGGCTCTTGCGGGTCACTTGGGTCAGATTGAAAGATCAAGCGGAAGCTCGCCGAAAACCCTACGAAAATCTGGCACGAGAAATTGATGCGTGCCTCCAAGAGGCATTTTCCGAATTTCTGTTCGATTTTTCCACGAGCTTTCGATCGAAGGACAATGTTATGCTCCAAATTTTTAGCATTCGAAAGTTATTAGAGATATATTCTCGAGAAGATACCACGTGCTGTGGCACTGTTACGCTCTTGCCGTCATACTTGGCGAGTTTGTGATCTAATATATAAGAAAGATCATGTACTCTGACAAAGATAGAACGAGTAACATTTTATGTAAGATTATTTTGGAGAATTTATTGCTTCAAACAATAATTTTTCTACAAAAGATACAGTATTCGTTTGTCAGAGTATCTGAGATTATTGGAGGAAGAAATATTAGATTTTATTACGGGATACATGGTGTAGCCATTCCTGTAAAGGTAGCTGAAAGTGGATTAATTTAAATTGATTATGTATATTGTTACTTGATCATATCGTTGGATCTGTCATGGGTCGCGCTGTTAAATTGAAGCAAAATCGGTGCAGCACGCGAGTTATTATATAAAAAGAAAGAAAACATTTCAAAGAAGCTGAAATGAAGTTGAGGTCAGCTGTAATAAATCTACGTAAAGGATGATAAGCCGCGAAGTCAGAAACTATGATAAAAGACAACGGATTCGTCGTAATATCGGTAATATTATTTTTCAAATAAATATTGCGAATCAGAGCTATCATATGTACAATTGTGAAAAAACGGTCTCTCGATCTTTCTGTAATTCATCCTGAATTTCATTGAAAAGAGAAAATATTGCAATTTTTTGTCGATGGCAGTAAGTTATTGCGACGAAATTACGACGATTCAATGTTATAGCGCGATCGAAATTAGATGATACGAAATAAAACGAAGAAGCTGAAATGAAACCAAGGTCGAACCTGTACGAAGAACGTGTAGTGTTCTCGACGTGTGCGTGCGTGCGCGTGAAACGACATTGTCACGTGCCACGTGCTACGGCACGACGTGTTACACAAGGCTGCTATTATCTCGGTAGCGTTGCGTGTCTTAAGTGCTGCAGTTGTGCATGGTGCAGCTGCAGCTGGAGGAGCTGCAGATTCTGCAGGCAGTAGGATGGCTGCTGTGTTCCGGGCGACGTGTACGGTAGGACGGACGGATGCACGAAAGAGCCGGAATTCCGGGACAGCCCGACATTCGGGCTATAATTGAAAGGTAGCAGGGATAGGCTAGGGGGTGGTGGTTTCAGGATACTGTGAAATTGCGCGGACGTGAGTGGATGGGGTTGCACGTAAGGGCTTGTGGAGGGCAACAATTGCGGACTAATCGGATACAAACAATCCTCTTCGGCCTGGCCGGGCACCGTCGTTGGGCTGAGCTCCATGTATTGCGGCATGACGAGATTGTGCTAGGTGGTGAATAGAATGGAAGGAAATAGACGTACTCCAAGGAGATAGACTCGATCTTTTTAACTTGAACCTGAAGCCGCGTGTCTCTGCGGCTTCGACTCTGGCACTTGTGCGAACATTTGAAACGCGGTCTCGCAATATGAAAATATAGTCCATAATTCGGTAAAAATGAAAATAATATTTTATGTCGATAGCATAAATTAATGTTCCGATACAAATATTCGCACAGATTAATACATTTTAAAAAGAATTTCATAATCTTTTAATTCGTATTATTTCATAAATAATTTTCAATGCTGTTTTCCATAATTCTATCTCTGTTGTCGTTTTATATATACATATAAATGGCTCCGGAAGGCTAAAGTTACCTGTACTTATAGAATTTGCTATACTTTCTGACGTTTTACAAGAAACACAGTATTATAAATAAAAATATGTTTAGGTAGATACAACAGATATATATACATGTATGTACAAACTCATTCAATACAGACAACCTCAGTCATAAAAAAAATTTGCACGAAAGTATGTCATCGTTCATTTAGGAAAAGCTAGATTTTGTGTATCAAATAATCTCATAACTCACCTTTGTGGCGCAGACGAAACACGTTGTGACCACCTTCGAGATTACATTCATAAGATTTTTCGTTTCTTGTATGACATTGTCGACTTTCGTAAAAGTGGCGGCTTTGCCGACGGTAGGATTCTTCACGGTGAATTGGAGTTGCTGAACGTAAGTCGGCACTCGATCCAAATTCTCCAAGAGTTCTTTCTTGTGTGGTCCACCTGGTACCTGCACCCATGTAACATCGTATACAAACTTATGTTTTCGTTCGTATCGCAAGATAAATTTGTTCGTATTTAATTTTCAACGATCCGAATACATAAAAACATTTAGCATATAGCGTTTAACCATTAATAAAAACAATAATTTTTAAAATAATAATATATCGATCGGAAAATAAAATTAGCTGAAATAAAAATTTTATATTATTTATTGTCCACGTGCTATATGATTAAAGAATTATTTTTTAATCTTTAATGATAATTTTCATATTAAAATATTCAGACACGTATAAAAACACACACATACGAGTTTGAACAAATTTTGCAGCATATATGCTGCTGTTATAATCTATTGTACTTTTGATATTCAAAATGTGCCTATAAAATAACTAATATATAATAATATAAGAGATTAACAATTGTTGAAAATTTTTGAACGCATTTACCTTGCGATATTATTTTTATTCATATTTAGCGCATTTCTTAGAGATTCTGTAAAGCAAGATGCCTGATTCTATTGTTGGTTTATTAAATGACTAATAATAAATACTTTGTAGTACGTATCGTAGATACTTAAAGTTTGCATCTAAGAAGTTAACAGAAAGATCGTCTATCTGTCCTATAGGAGAACACAATGCACTTTCAACGGAACGTAAAAGATTTCTCGATATAGATATCAAAGTGACTGTGTGAAGTGGCAGTGAAATAGTACAGACCTTATTATTTTCGCAAACTTCCTTCATATAAATTTTCTCTTTTTGAGACAATATTATATTAATGACATGTTTTCGGGAAGAAACAAATAATCTCAAATTTTAATTTTCCTTAAAAGACATTTAATCTTTCTATAATATTCAAAGATATATATGTATATAATGGCGAAATATATATAAATAAATAAATTGTATACATATATATACATATATAGTATTTAATTATGTAAATATTTCTTAACGAATTTTGTTTGATAAAACATACGATAAAGGAAGCTTGCAAAAATTGTGAGACATAATACTCATGCCCCAGATAGTGGAAGGAGAGGGACCACAATGCACATAGACGTCGTCCATAGACGGAAGCATTCCCGTAGCATCTAAAACACACCTTACTAATCGTACACAAAAAGTCGTAAAATGTATGTACATAAAATAGATTTATTAAATCATAAACGTTCATTATGAGTTTGAATGACATGGTATATACGCGCAAATTATTCCAATTTTCGAAACAGTTAAATCGTATACTGATAATATAATTATAACAATATAAACAAAAATTGTAGAGTTTAACGAGTTTTTAAATCTTAATTATATTTGTATGTGATTCTTATATGAATATAATGAATCATCGGTTTTTGATGAAATAGCTCTTTCTTATATGTCACTTGTAATCGTTTCCAAAATCTTTAAAAATGCTTTTATATAGAACGATTTTCTATGCTATTTGTAATGATCAATAAGAAAATCTACGTGCGTGATGTTGCATAGCAATATACAAACATAGAATTTACAAATGTAGAATTTACAATGACAACACTCACAAACAGTAGATAGAACATTGACGTCGCAAAGAGAGAGTTAGCGCTATATATATGTATATACACATATACACATACACGGCAATGAGAATGATTTGTTAAGGCGAAAGTGATATCTATTAGTTCAAAAGGGTCTAAAGTAAAGAGAGAAAAAGTTACCTGGATGGAGGCATTCAAGAGCGAGGGTATATAAAAAGGATTGTATATAATATAGAATATATTACAAGGTTAGCGTCTTGTTATTTCTCTTAAGAAGAGTATAAAGAGAGACCAAAGTGATTTCAGGTGACTATATATATTCGGCCTAGCTAGGAGGGGTTCGAAAGAGGGTAGCAAACGTGTTAATTCGAACATGTCTAATGCTAAGAACGCATGTCGAAGCTACTTCTGGTCTGAAAGCTACATTTATAGTAGCATAAAATAATAACAAGATAATAAAGTAAAATAAAATAGTGCTTTCATACAATTGAAATTTTCTATCTTTATACTTGTTCAAATATTATAATTTTTTAATGTCTGTTCTCTCTCTCTCTCTCTCTCGTGTGTATATATATATATATATATATATCTAGAATGCATTGATCATTTCTGCGTACCCCTGGCCGCGGCAAAGACATGTAAACCTGCTTCTCTGGCCGGTTTTGACTGAGTTCCAAGACATCTTTTGCTACTGTCGTCACATCAGTCATGAGCCATTGCCACATATCGGCAAATACTGTGAAATATACAAAAACATTAAATGAATTAGCAATAGATCGTTGTCGCAAATTCAGTGGAGCATTTATATTTATACTTACCTTCGAGATTTTCCTTGGCTATTTTACTAGTGGGATGCCTAGCTAGCGTGTGCGCGGCCGTTACGACCTGAGGACCATATATTCTTAAGTTGATCTCCGTGAACTTGGCCGATACTTGCAACGATTCCGAAAGTGCAACGTGTCTTAGAAGTTTGCATACCTAGAAGGAGGAATAATATGTAATAGTGAAAATAAAAAATTTGCGAATCATCGATAAAAAATAACCATGTATTCTAACTTTTATGTATTGGGAAAATTACTACAAAGTCACAAAAGATTTATTGTTAGTATCGGACATGAGTAATGGTCTATGTGAACTAATTCACTTAAAGTTAGGCGTGAAATAAATCCAATTAAGTGCTATAACTGATTACAATCTAGAAGTGATGAATGATAATCACTGCGCACTATGTTTAATAAATCAATAAATGTATTTTAGAATCACACTCGATGCAAAATTAAGGCATGCGCATTTTTGCTGAATAATTTTGTAAGTCAATAATAATCCTCGAAAAGACTCCTGGTTATTATTTGTGGACTTTGAACTTAGAATGCACGTGCACACGAATGCAGACACGCGGTGCGTGGGCCACGTCTAGGAGCTTACTTCGAGAATGTGTTCGATATACTCGTGGAACCTGTCGCTGCTCTCTTGCAGACGATCGATGTCATTGGCCAACGCGAGATTTCTGATCGTTGACACGAGTTCCTGGCCGGCTTTTGTCACTTGGCCAAGATCGCCGGCTTGCTCCATCGTCGTCGCGCTGAGCTGCTGGCGAAGGTCTCTGGTCGCCCGTAGCACACCCATTACCGCTTGTTCCATTTCCGAGCTCGGTGAACCCCCGCCGCCCTCGTAATTCTAACGGAACACAATGTTTATTCTTTATCATGTTTAATTTATTAGGCAGTATTTTTTATTTAGATTGTTATTCGAAATATATTCAGTCATTTTTGTAACGAACAAAATTTATTGCAAACTAATTTCACGTTTTGATAAAAGCCACGTAATTTCAAATTTTATGTTTTAATTTTGTAAATCTTATCACAATTAGCGGTATTGGACTTTTTACGCATTTTTACACGATATTAGTAAATAATATTTAGTCGCGCATTTTCTTGTAAAATATTATAGAGCAAAACTCTATCGACTCACCATACTATTGCCGATCCGCAAGAGAGTATTAAGTTCGAGTTTTGCACGATCACAAAGCAGAAGGATATTTTCCCTGTGCTCGTGACTCGTATAAGCGCTGTCGGTGAAGTCTTGCGTCCTCTCGACCACCGTTTCGAGCGCCGACGTAAGTGTTTCGCGACAGCCCGGTCCCAGCAGAGTCATCCTCGTTGTTTCGACGAGCCTTTCGAAGTGTTTCAAAGCTGAGCAAACGGTACTGCTATCCCAGTCTTCTTGCTGCGGACTCTGCAAGGAACGAAGGACGTAGAAGAGATATCTTTCTCAAAAGATATAGCAAATTTTTTCATCTATGCGAAAGAATCTTCTTAATATAATTATTTAAGTATTTTAAAATAATTATAACGAGTCTGAATTGATTCTTTCGTATAATCACAATGTTGAAATACATTAATGACTAGCGACGAATATTATAGATACGACACAAATAATATTAAATCTTTTAGAGAGATGCCACGTTTGAGAGCGTTCCACTTAGCCAGGTTGTCTACAATCACTCTAAAATCGATTATGTCGCACGGAAAGTGGTAGTAAGTACTTAAGTGTAAAATACAAGGATATATTTTTCTAGCACGGGTAAAAGTCGTTCAACGTGACCCACAACCCAATAGTGTCTCGCGCGTTGTTTCTTCAAAGACTCGAAAGGTTTTCGGAAGGGTCGGTAATATGTGTGAAATATTCCACCTCATTTATTTCACGCTAAAAGAAAAGAAATCTGGCACGGAATGAAAGCACCGCGCATCGAAGTGCCGATATGTAAATGCGAGAGCACAATTTGGCACGATACGAATAACCATTCACGTTCTTTATGACGACCGTGCCGTTTATGGCCACGATTTCCGTTTCGCGATAAAAACTTTTCATCGTTGCTTTTGGATAATTGTTGGACAGACTTTTTATAAACTCTCGTTATGAAATCATAATATTTCGCCATTGATGCCGTAATTTAATTTTTTATTTCCATTTTTTAATAGGTGTTTAATTATAAAACAAAACTTGTGTGCGTCGGATGATTTACGATTTACAGTTCTTTTTACATAACTATTTTTTAATAGTATCATTATATATGTATACGAGTATGTAATAATTTCGGCATAAAACTGTTCGTTTTGATTCCACGAGTGAAATCTGTAATTTTATTTATTGTTGGTTTCACTACTTTCTATTGTGTATTTTGTTTCCAATTTCTCGTTATATAGATTTTCTTTTACGGTAATTTAGCACTGTTAATTTTTTTTATTATGTAAATGGAAAAATAATACATTAGAATGTATATATGTATGTGTATATACGGAGGATTATTAAAAAATTAATAAATAGTTATTAATAAATAGTTCAGTCATAAATTGGTTAGAGTCGCAATTGTCATTGTGAATAATCAATTATGTACATACTTTGCAATCGTGATCGATTCATATTCGTAGGACATATTCCGCTGATTCTACTCTACCATCTTCGACCACGGCTTATCGATTTCGTGCCAGGCCAGACATCGCGCCATTATTTATGGTTTCTCGAGTCGTATTAGGATCGTTTCGATATCTCGTTTACAACTTCTGCAAGGGCAGCGGATCGCGGTTCAAGGTCGTTTAAATCGCGTATTAGGAAACGATTCGTAAATCACAATTTGGCTGTAGACAAAGGCTCTTTTCATGTTGGAATATTTCCAAAGCTTTCGGAAACATTTCATCATATCTACTTTTTCTTTCTGATCCTTACAATATGGATATGCATTCTCGATATGTAGCATCATAATGAGAGTTGAATGCTTATTTGGCAACCGCGATCATTTCGCGATTATTGGCGTTTCTTGGCAAAGAAACTTTTAACGCGAGATTTATATCGGTAATTATTTTCATATTAATTCTTAAATTATTCGCCATCTTGTTCTTTAAATTAATATCGCAAATATATAAATATTTTGGGAAGGAACTATTTTGTAATTTCATTACTCTTTCAGCTTTATTAAATTAATTTTAACAAGATGTGGAAATGTTTCCGTTGTTCATAAGTATTTATTAAGTATCCTCAAAACGAACAGCTTACCTGTGAATTCGAATAAGACTGAGATTCGCTACAGTCTAATACTCCGTCCTTGACAACGTAATGTATCAGATCCATCGCTCTTCTCATTTGGCAAAAAACAGTGTCTCTGTTCTCCTTAGCGGATGGACATTCGGGATGCCTTAGACATGTCTTGCTGGACGTGAGCAGCATCATGGTACTTCTCTCTAACACTTGTCGTGCCGCTGCCATCTGCGCGCGTCGCCTCTCATCTTTGAGATCATTCTGAAAATGAAGTGCATCGTTTAATCGAATCACGATTATGTACTATGGAAATTAGTACGAAACTCATGAGTGATATATCGATTAGCAAGAAACCTGAATCTCACCTGACGATCACCCGTTAAATGTGCCAACTCGACCATCTCCCCTCCAAATTGGCTGAACGCCTTGACGAATTCCGTGAAATTCGAGACACTTTCGAGGCGCCCGAGACTGCGGGCGACCTTATCCTTGGCGTGAAGCAATTGATTAACCACGACGATGTCTGCCAGGAGGAGGACTTTCGTCACTGAGCCTAGGAGACATCTGGCAGCTCTTACGACGGAACCTCGGTCAGCCAAGCTGTCTTCCAAGGCACATTCGCATAATTTCTCGATTGCTGACCCTAAATATAACATAATCGACATTGTCGGGTTGTATTCTCTAATTTTATAATGTATAGGTATATATTTGGATATCAAGTTAAAATATATATAAAGTCATAGTCTGTTCTATTAATTCCACGGCAACGTTTAATTCTCGAAAGAGAGATCGATCGAACGAATTTTGAGCGAGTGTGACGGACAGGGAATACTGATGAATTAAACATCTCGCCTTTTTATCGTGTGTCACCGTAAAATTGGAGTAACTGATTTAATTATGACCGAACCTTTTGACTTAAGTACGACGGCTACGAGTAATTGAGTGCTCTTGAACGATCGTAATTAGCTATCGCACATTCGCTATCTTATCTAAACAATGTCATACTTAATTAAACTTATCATTAAGAAATATGGATAAGCAAATATGCAGCACTGCGCATTTATATTTATGAACGTATTGAAATAGAAACGTTAATTAATCTTTTTTAAAACCTATATATTAATTACAATTTTAAATTTTTATTCAATACTTTTTAAACAAGTGTATAATGTCCAATATTAAAAGAGTCATAAAAGGAAATTGATAAGAATAATTGCAATATGCAATTTGATTAGTATATAATTTGTTGATAATGATATAAAAATTGTTCTCAGCGCTTTTTCTAGCAATACGATTTTGACAGAAATCAACGTAGAAAACTACATTAAACAACAAGTTACATTTGTGCATAACGTTTTCTAATAATATCGTAATCGATTGGAAACACTTCGAATATGAGACGTGAAAGTTGCTCTGTATCATTAAATAATTATTTTCGAAATTAGAGAGCCGTAGTTAACGCGAAACACAATATCGCCGCTGGCTATTATCATGTATTAATTGTTCATCTCCATTAGAAGCTTGCAGTGTCCTGAAGGTAAACTGCTATAGAGAGAATCGATGAGAGAGAACAATTGATTATAATCAGTATTATTTGTTCCTTTATCGGGTAATTATGAGAAAATACTGATTGGACGAAACAGATAAATTTTCAGTGAAATAGATAAAATTTGTCTGCAAATCCCCGATAGCAATGTTTTATTGTTTCTGTAAACTTCCGTTAAATTCTATTCATCAATTTATTTCTTCAAACACAGTTTCTTCATCAACTCAATATCTATAAACTTTTCTCATGGGCCACTGCGAATTATTACATGTTCAGCAGAGCTTGTTCACCGTTGTACTTGATAGATACTTTTCTCATTAATTAACGAGAAAAGCACCTCTTTATTCTTCTCTATTTTAACATTATATTGCAAACTTGAAAATTAATTATTGTATATACCACATTTAAATATTTGTTATGATCTATCGCGAGACATTGCTAATGAATACCTAAGATATCCGTAATTGAATACTTATTACTACTACGATTAAGGATAGGCAATGTTCTGTTTTTATGTGCCGCACCCTGTATTCTTTTAGAGGATAAATCGCTTATACTCTTCTATCGAACTGATTAGTATAGCGATGTCAGCATTGTAAGATTAGTCGGTTCGATATGGAATCCTTATAGCGTTTTATATAGATCAACTGTTACGTAAGAGAACTTGACCTAATTTAAAAATCGAAGTACACTGATTTCATACGATTTCAAATAACCTAGATGTTTAATTATTATTCTGCTAATCAATGATTGATTTTTTTCCATGTATTTATCAGCAAAAATTCAAGAAAAAGTTCTGTACTGTCTATATTTCATAAAGCACAAAAGAAACATGTCAGTCGATAAGAATTATTTCTCTTTTCTCTCTCAGAGTTTAGCATTTACTTATTTAATTATTACAAAATTGCTAAATTAATTATAAAAAAGTCATTAATGATTGATGTAATATATAGGCAAACTATTTTATTAATAGAAGCACCTACCTAATTTCGATATTTGGTGAGATGTTTTTGAGCGCAATGAAGCAAATAGAGCACACGTCACTTATCTAGATATCGGTACCTCAGTGGTGGATGCATCGGGTGGATTGCAATTGGAGAGATTGCTCGCATGCGACGCGCAGAAGCGTGTCCTAGGAGTGCGCTTTTCATGATTCACAGAACAAAATATATCTGGCCGGGATAAATACGTCAAACTTGAGATTGACATTTAGATTTTTATTTCTTACTTACGAGCGAAAAAGAACTCCCTTTTTTTTGTTCCGCATGTTATTCATCGATACCGTTACGAAATGCTGTATCTATTTGATTCATCACGTAGATGTAAACATACGAGGAAATCAAATTATTGTTATGAAATACGGTTCGTGAATTTCGAACAAACTATAGTTTTTCAAGATGCGTATCAATCGCTTAATTGCCTATTCTTGTAACTTTCGGCTGGCACGCGATAATGGTGAAAGAACAATTATGCGTTGCTTTAGTTCGCGTGATTAGGAAAGCTCCAGTCATAAACGAATAATTTACTTTGGTGATTGCGCGTAATTGTAATTGTAATCAATGCTAATGATTTATTCCTGGATTTAACTATGAAAATGATATTCGTATTTATTGATATTTCTTCTTGGCATAACAATCTTGCTGCGAATTATATTCGGTTAATATCGAATAAAATACAAATTTAGGAAGAGAAAAATGGAAGCCCGTTGAAACAGCTTTTCATATAGAGACGTAATAAACAAATTTTTGTATATTTGATATAATGGATATTCTTATTACTCTAAATTTTAAATGTAGTTTAAACGTTCGTTTATTTGTGAATGCACCAAGTATTACATAGGTAATCAATTTGATACCGTTTAATTATTTTGCATGCCATCAATATGGAAAGTGTCTTTAGGAAAGTTGTTCCAATGTTATCGAGAGAGCATTACTCTCTTTATATAATGTGAATTTGCATTTGTGCAAGCGACACAAGTGGTTTTGCGTTCATCAGTGAGCACTATTAAATTGTAGGAGTAAATAGCGCGGAATGGCGTTTTATGATAACCATGATAATGTGGGTTTATGAACGATCAATGACGATGAATGTGACTAATGAATCACTAACTTTACTCGTTAGCGAAACGTTTATCCGCGTTTACCATCAATCCACGTTGTTAAATCGCTTCGATATATTTATATTACGCTCCTTCATTAATAATATCTCACTTTATACAATGCAGACTTTATATAATGCAATTTTCGTTTGCATATACGACTTTATGCAAGTTTGCGCAATCCAATTTGTTATTTCTTTTATTGGTTTTTACGGTGACTCTATTTGAACGGGCCTTTTTACTGTTCGCTACTAAAGTACGCCGAGTGAATTTATATCGCGTTTTTCCCAAGTGACATGTCATGATAAAAATCGCTCTCTTGTGCCCGTATATATACTGCAAGCTGAAAACTTTTTGTTATTCGGTTCCGTCATAAAAATGGATTTATCACCGTTACATCGGGAAAATGTCGCGGCTTATTTGCGGAAAGAAAATTGCAGTAGAATCGTTGGCGTTTGATTTCAAATGTACTAACGAGCCTGGTATTAATTTGATCGATTTGTTGAGGATATTAATCTGTTTACACAATGTTACGCGAAACGAATTAACTGCGATGTACAAATATAGTAGGACTATGTAAATAAAATATATCTCCAAAATATCTATGTATATTTTGCAGATGCAGAAATTTTAATAGATTCGTGTGTTTTACATCAAAATACTACGCACGTTACAATTTGCACATACAAGATTAAACTAATAGGTCCATATCAATTGTATGCTATGTATATATACGCTCCTTTGTCTTAACATTATTAGTTACTAAATGTTTTATACATTGAATTATTTCGATCGTAAAAGATGATCAAAACGAAGATGAATAGATAATATTTATACAAAGATATATGAAAGCAATTATTGTTTGATGTCGATGGATATGATTGCGAATGAACGAAGTCGAAGCTACAAAATTTACACTGTATCTCATTAACAGCGTCGCGTCGGTAATTTCTTTCGATTTCACCCTGGTGTTTGATATTTTCAATTCTTGGACAATTTATTTTTGCCCCGTGCATCACGATATTTCCAGCCTCTATTTGCATATAACCATTTTATTGCCAATTATTCCGAATTCGATCTCTGCTTTTGCATTCGTTTTTCATATATTCCGAATGATCATCGATGACCATTTCGTCGTAACAGCGTGTCGACATAGAGACGCTAAATGAAGTAGTACTTTATGTACTTTCAGTTTAATATTACGTGGTAAATATTAACGTATCATGAAACGTTATGTCTTTGTAATTTTTTATTGCCCGACTTGAACGGATGTCGGACGTTAAGCGTACAACGTCTACGCATCCATCAACTTGCTCGAGTTGCATTTAGTTGGCAGTGACTATAGTCTGCTTGTGATTAGATAGGTGCGACTATTTCCGAATGTTGCTTTGTGCTTACCGTTGCTTGTGCGTACCTATGCTGTTTCCCCTAAATTTGGCATGTTGCCATTTATCTTTTACGGTGGTCGCTTTTCGTTATAGTAATACGCTTGCTCTCAGTCGTCGCTGTTCTGGTGCGCGAGTTTAAATTCCACGAAGCATCGAAAATAGCGTTATCTTGGGAAAGGGAGCACAACCTGCAAGCGTTTAAGCATTCCGTGCAATGTCGCGCTTCTTCCATCCGATCTCAATTTGTACATACGACAAACGTATGCGACCTGTCTCACGTATAATTGTTTACTTAAAATTCTACTTTGTGTCTCACAAAAATTTTTGATTTCCTATTTTGAGAAATGACAATTTTCACGATAATAGTAACTCATCTTAAACACATGTTACGAAGAGTGATCTGTATGCAAAAACCCACCGACGGTTTATACAAATTCGTCGCGTGCTGTGTCATAGTGAATTCCGCAGGCCGATAGCGCAATTCTACGGTTATAGTTACACTTACGGTGGCACCGATTTACACGCGATACCACGCGAAACGATTTGTTCAAGCCAGCGGATAGTAAACTTGCATGTCTCCACACAATTACAGTAATATCGCGGTGTCCTTTTTTGTATTCATATTTCATTACTTCAAATTGATACATCTTATGAAACATAAGCAATTCTATAATTTAGTAATCGAATTTTCCATCTTATTTATTATCGAGAATTTTTTTATCAATATTCTAAATTCGTTGGAACACGTTGTTTCTCATTGCACAAAATCCTGTTTGATAGTTGTGATGAAAACTCGGTTTATTATTTATATATCGGCGTTTTCTCTCTCTCAAGCGCAAGATGATAGTGAAGAGAATAACTGATGTAATAATAGTATTTCTTAAATGCATATATATAAACGATGAAAGAAATATTAGAGCGATACTTAAATTGTAAATAAGTTTTCATTTCTAGTATCTATAGCTTTATACTGTTATAGTTGCCTTTTTTATTCTCCATGAATTATATAGAATATATTTTTTGAATCGAATGCTACACCGAGTAACAAGAGCTTTCCTCAAGATCTTCAATTTTGTGACGCGGGACTTTTCACGTTGAAGCGAGACCGTTTCTTCTCTTTATAGCACAATTCTCCCCGAAGAGCGAACAGGTGTGCTGGAAAGAAATATCCGCGGTCCTTACTTCGGCCATTACTTCTCCGCTATTTGGCAAAGATACGTCGAGGCTCTTCTTGTATGTAGGTGGCGAAAAACCTTTCAAGGTTTGGTGGAAACTAGGTCATCGCGCGCGCTATTTCCACATGGTAGCTGCAATCGTTTTGCAATGTGCGGCCTAGCGTGAAGATACGAAAAGATATAATCTACTGACGATAAGACTTCAGAGAGTGACGTTCAAAGGTTACGGGCCTTATCCTCGCGTGTATGGAGCCTACTTCCGGTTTGCGTGCTCTTAGAGATTGTCCGCGCAAGGTTGCGTACGGTGTAATTTGTATCTTTTCGATATTCGATGTTGGTGTTCGAATCCGAGGGTGTTTCCTTATATGTTATAGCGTAAAGAGAGATCCGCTTTTACACAAATGTATAAAAAATGTTCGGTACAAATGCGTGAAATATGTAAATCCGTATAATGTTTATGCATGTTCTTTCTTTCTCCCTTCTTCCTTTTCTCTTTTTAAAAGGCAGAAAGGTTTTAAGATACTAACTTACATGCTAAAAAGAATATTGATCGTTTCGTGCGCAATGCGAATCATAAAATCGCATTAGAGTAATTCGCGATGCTCTTAAATCTTCACGATTCAGATTTCCGTGACCTGTTTGACGAACGGTCATATTCGATGACATTCAAGCTTACGATTCAAAAATAATTAAAAATGAGAAAGAGTTGTGTATTCTCCTTAATTATTTTTCTGTATTCTTAGGAGACATTCTTTATGAGACATTCTTGTAACTAATTTACAACGCGATAGAATTTTATATTTACGAGTAATTTTATCGTACGATTACAAATTTATTTAATATAATAAGTAACACAATTATTTTAAACACTAAAAAGCTAATGAAATATCTACCTGCTTGAGGTAATGTTATTCGTGGGAAAGAAACCGGTGCAAGTATAATGCAATTTGTTCTTGAGAAGGAAATAATTTCAAAGAAGAATATAAAGTTTTCAATAAAACATAATCTGGATGAAAGTATTAAAGTACTTGAAATTATATCATTGTAATAAAATTTATAATCAAGATAGAAATTTCGCAACAATATCGTTAAATATATATATATATATATATATATATATGTATATATTGGATTTAAACAAGATTAGCATTCAAAATTTAATAGCGTCATCTTTTGAGCTGTGTGGAGTTGGCTCCTCCACTACTGAAAATTCACTAACGACCATTACCACTCGATTGGTTGTCATTGGTAATAATTCTCTAATTGGTAGTCTATTCTCGATGATTGGTAGTCAAAGTTGTAAATAATAATGAAAAAAAGACATACGCGCGTGAAATTAGCCTCTTCTTTCGCAAAATGTGGCTTTCCAGTGGATTAGTGGATTTTCAATAATGGGCAAGCTAACTTTACACAGCTTATCTTTTGCATATTTCTTTGAATAGTACCATGATTGTAATAAAATACATTGCTTGCCAAAATTTAAATTTTTTATAAATAATATTAGACATAAAGAATATTACGAATTAACATTAATTTCTGCATTGTATTGTTTCTTTACTAGATAATACATCATTCTAAAGTTGTTCAATAATCTCGAACAGATGCATGATGTTGGTGTGCAAAATACGCCAAGTTTTAATGTGAATTTACACTGTAATGTGCAATTGGATACGTTCGTATTGTTCTAACTTTTGATTAATGCACTATCGTAATATTCACTAGAATATTTGCATTGAATTTGCGTTTATGTCATGTCGCATAATTTTCATCCGTTCTGTGAAACTTACAAAAGTGATATCACTTTTCTTTATTTTGAATGAAATATTAGACCTTTTATTAATACATTATTACAATATATATTTTTTATGAATAAAAATCTTTCGACAGTATATACAATAAATATATACGATATTATATACAATAAATTCAAATAATAATAATGTAGCTTGTAACTTGAATGTTACATAGTATACTCAAAATTCATTAATTTAGTGAGAATTAAATACATAAAAATCACAGTTTTTTTAAATCATAAATGTTAAACTAGGGAACTCTAACGAAGAGACTCTAATTCTAATTTAAAAGGGAATTATTGTGCTTTAATTTTATCTGGTTGAAGTATATAAAACTATTCCATTTTTTTTGTTTGTATATTTATTTTCGTTATTATCAATTTTATGTACGTTACAAGTGCTATCACACTTACCTGCAACTCTCGCCTCCTTGCACGCCTCGTACATGTCTTGTTTGATCTCCGGGTTGTCGTCCGCGATAGTTTCGCCGACGGTCACGAATCTCTCGACCGCCAAATTTACCGCCTGGCCGACCCTGGCGACCGCTCGCAAACTCCGATCCGAGCATAGCGGTCGTTCTCTATGTGAGATTAACGTGGAAATCTGTAAAGATATTGCATTTTGATGAGTGTACAAAATTTATTGATGGAGAAATTTGTGTTAAATTTCATTTTATAATATTTTATATATTTTGATATAATTAATGAAAAGAATTTTGATTCTTGTTTAAAAGGCCCTATTTATTAAATATTGTTTCCATAATAACAAATATCAAAATGGCGAACCATAAAACTTATCGCTTCGAAATATTTAATACTTGATGAAATAAAATGAGAATACATATATATACATATATATATTACAGACTAGTTTATTTCGCTTTTGAACTCTTTACTTTAATTAACATCGTCTAACCCAGGTTTCAAAATAACCAGCGGGTTCGTCCGTATATCGGTAACGCATATTCCGTATTTGTTTCAGTCGTATGTATACGACTAGCGATCGCGGTGACGTGCTGCTCGCGTTGCACGCGGAATTGCGTTGGAGTTTGTGGTAGCTTCGTAAAACTACGTAACGCGCCCCGAGCATTCGCAAACCGTAGCGAATGCACTGCATTTTCCACACAATTAGACGATGCATTCGTGCGCCGTTCCTTTCAGAGATGTCTGCCTCGAAGGAGGGAAAAGGAATACGGACTGTGACGTGGAGCGAAGGGACGAACTCGCAGACTATTGTTCTAAGAGATGAATGCATGCAGTCGCGTATATATACACACATGTACATATAGAGCAATACGCACATAAACGACTCCATTCATTCTGTTTCGATCGTCTTATGTAAATGAGAAAGATGTCTATGACGACACAGCTTGCGTGTTGATTACGCATGCGTGCGCGGGAGCGTGAATGGTTATGCAGGATAAAACTATATTGTATATTTCAATATTGTGCCATAACGTCGAAATTTAATTTAATTTTGACTGTAATATCGATTTGGCACTAACTTATATTTTTTCTTGCGATTATAAAAAGCATTGATAATCACTGATATAAGATATACAGTTTCTTCGATGGCATCTATAAATTATATGATTATTGAAAGAACCTGTCTATATAAAAAAATTTAATAATACATTGCAATATAGCATTTTGTTCAGAAAAAAGCTAGGTGTACAATTGTGTATTTTATTCGACCACTGTGATATTATCTATCTGAAATCTGTGATTTTTTTTCCACCTACATACGCACAATGTACGTATGAATTTTTTTTATTTGTCCGTCGTGCAATTAACACAAAAATTAGATCGAATTTTTTAAAAGCATTATATTTTTAGTATGCGTCAAATGTATGTATATTTTGTAGCGTTAACGCGTTATACACTTTATGTTAATGATTTGCTATTACTTGAATACGTTCTTTAAAATGTGTTAAGAAACTTACGAACCTCATTCTACAACACGTATTACTGCAATTACTTTAAATATTTAATTTCTTTAAATATAGAAATTTCAAAATTAAATTCAAGAATTTAATTTTGTAATTTCTATATTTATCGAGATGTCAGTATTATTCTTATAAATATAATGCTATAGAATTACAGACAGAAAACGTGCACTTATAGGATGTCTTATTTTTATCGTATTATATTTTAATGATAGACGTTTGTGTCGTTAGCAGGAACTTTGTCGTTAGTAATGATGGCCGCCGCTCGCGAGTGTCTCACACAAAGTTCAATATAACTTTGCATAATTTCCGCCGACCGGAACTCCATTTTTCACGATGAAATTCCAACGGGTTTCCTCGAGAGACGCACGAGTAACCGACGAATAATTGAAATAGCTACCCTCTCATAGGAAAATCGGTCGCCTTGCATGAAAATTCCCGAAAGTTCATGAATTTATGTATTCGTCGACATGATATTTTATTTTCTATTAAGATTATATAAATCGTTACGCTTAAACCAACAATATATTTTTTTTATCTCTCGCATTGATATTAACAATAATTTAAGAACGAAGTCCTTGACGCGGTTGTTGGCGATATCGATCCGAGTACTACTGACGATACCGTTAATCGCTTTCACGTGCGAAATTCATCTCCCGGCTTACGTGGCTATTCGCGGAATTTTCGATATCACCGGTGAATATTTAGCTCGCGAGATATCATCAATCAATTCCGATGTCGCATCGCGGTAGCGAAGCGTTTCCTGACGTACCTCCATCCTCCGTGACACTGTAGCGAGAGCTCGGACCTGTAACTTATGTTCCGTAACGGGGGCGGCTCGTGAATTTATCGCTCTAATACGCGACGATCATACGTGACATTATGACGTGCGGAAATAACTTACCCTGCAACCGCGGTCTCACACATAATCGGTGAGACGTTATTAATGCATAATCGCGTGCTGTCCTATTCACAGAAAATTCGATGAGGAATAACGACAGCAATACTAGTCATGGTATATTACAAATAATCTATACTTTAACCAAAATATTTATTTTGCACTGCTGTTGCTAGTTACGAAAAATAATACACAACATCCATATTTCTTGTTATATTTTGCACTCTGTTAAAAGCTTCTAGTATATATAGATATCAAATATCGATATCCTGTCCCGATGTAGAAATTTTATTTATGCTATCATGATAATCCGATAAATAACGCTAAGCAATTCCCACGTGTTCATTAACACTGCAGTGTGACGTATAACCGGAGTTGTGTAATTATTCATATCACGACTGGCATATTATGCTCGGTATTGCGCATTTTTAATTTAAATGACCGCTAAACGTAATAAAGTTCAGTCAACAACGCAGAGAGGATAATGGCAATTGCAAAATTCCTGAATTTCTTTCTGTCTGAAAATAATATGTTTATTTTATTGTAAATTTTATTTATCAATATATAGAAATATCCTGCAGATATGATATATTTAATGAGTTACAGATCACTTTATTCTTATACCGTTATACAATTATATCGATCTTTTAAAATACCTACGTGAATTTTTCAAAATTGTTCCAAACAAATATAAATAATGTTGCAAATATATTAATAGTTTATGTTTGGAGAAAGCCGCGACTTATTTATTATTCTGCTTCGTGCGTTGTCTGGCATTATTGTGAAACAAAAGTGAACATGTTAAAATGGATGAATTTTCGTTTGTGATCGATCTCTTCACTTTGTTACATCTTTCATTTACGAAATGGATATTGGAGCTTCGCGAATACGAACATGGTACGGTAACAACGGCGAGGGCGATGGATCGCCAGCTGCTGTAACTTGAGCAGGTGGCAGCCTATCGCTTCGTTTAGCAGGGATGGGCATCCCTGTACAAGTCACAAAGAATGCTAAATAATTAAATTAGAAAAGCGTTGCCGAGCGTTTTTGTTATTTAAAGCTTATTAGCTTTATTTTTTATTTTTTGAAAAATCACACCGCTAATTTGAAATTAATTTGTTACTAAAATAAAAAAGCATAATAGCACGGCAGCAGTATAGAGCGATCAATAGTATTTGCGAGTTTTTTCCTTTGCTCAGAAAAATATTTGGTGATTTGTAAAAAATATTTGACCTCCAAACGAATGCGTGGCATAGAAGAGAAAGAGAAGCTTCTCGCGGAAAAATTTAATTAAAACGTTCAAAGAGCGAGAATTGCGAAGAGAATGAGATCCGATAAGTAGATTTGACTAATTTAAGATAGATTTTAGGACTTAAGTATAATTTGATAAATTCTCCTTACTTTTACTTCATCAAGTCTAAAAAGAAGATTAACAGCCATATTAATCAAGGAATTTAAATCGAATCGAGAAGTTGTATCTTTTTTTTTTAATACTTTTCTTATACTTTCAATTATTTTTCTTTTTTCTTTTTTCTCTGTAGAAAAGAGAATAGCATACATGTGATTACTCAGTTGCGGCATAGTTACTAAGTCTCTCCGCACTTTTATAAAAAATGCATGAGCTTTCACTCCATCTACGGTCTTTCTTCGAGTTTTCTCATTTCGCCATTTCCTTCCTGGCTCACATCGTCCTGCAAGGCACGATTTTCGTTTTTTATTTATCTAGGGCAGCCTGGACTCTTTCTTTACTTTCGATCAATTTCCTTTTTGCGTAATCTAACATTGTGTTGCGATATTTTTTCGTCTTGTATAAGCCAGCGCACGTTTATTTACAAATACGCTGACTTTAAATAAGTTCTAATTCTTTGAAAGAGGTATTTTCTAAAATGCTCAATCTATCGAAATTGATGGCAAATAGGGACGTGATTGCGCTGACATCGCACAATCTATACAAATAGATTCCAAAAGAAAACGTGCCAATTTTTCTTTTCCAACTCACTGCACCAACGCACTTTGTTAGGAATTTTAGAAATATCGATCTTATTATAGTGATAATATCGCTACAACGGTCGACAATGTAGGACGTACTTTCTTCTTTCACGAATTCTATAACGAATCTTGATTCACCGCCGAATAAGCACCAAACGAAATGACAGTGAAAGGCATATGGCATTTCTCGCCATGATCAGTTCGATCCAATTTCCCGGTCATGACAGAAAAGGAAGATTACATCGATAGAATGGAGAAATCCGGAGCATTGCAGAGTGTAAATGAAAACCTTGCTTTGATTCGCAAGTGAAAAGATTGAAGAAGAAAAGAAATAAATATTCCACACGTTTTATACGAGATTAGCTGCCGACTCTGTTGATGCAGAGAAATTTTGCTATCGCCGAACAAAAGTTAGGAAACTGATGGAAACGAGTTATCGGACCAATTTGCTTCACGGTGCGAGCTAGAATGGTTCGCTAATTGATACTCCAAGTATGCGCGTAACGTCGGCCGCTACAAACGAGTCGCGAACAAAGAGCCGTGCTAATTTGGAGAATTCAGTTACAGTTGTCCAGTGGCCATTGTGTACTATAGTTCATTTCCATTTCAAAAGTAATATTTGCCACGTACATATCGAGGTTTGTCGAATCGTGAGAAGTGAAGATTAATTTATTAACCTGTATCAGCTATGCTAATTAAAATCAGTTATTGAAAATATAAATATCTCCGTAAAATTTAATATACATAGATTAGCATTAATAATATATATAT